CGTCATCAATTTGCTTACTATTAAAGTTGGATACGCCAATTGACTTGACTTTACCCTCATCCACCAATTCTTCCATCGCTTTCCAAGTGTCATTATAATGAACGTCAGAGTAGATGTAGGAACCGTCAGGATTAGTTGGCTCCCAGTTGGTCAGGCCTAGATTAGCCAATCCTTGAGGATAATGTATTAGATATAAATCAAGATAGTCCAGTTGTAAATCTTTTAAGGTTTTTTCTACAGCGATCTTGACATCTTTAGGTGCATGCATCGTATTCCATAATTTTGAAGTGATAAACAATTCATCCCGTTGGACGCTGGTACCAATTTTTTCGCTTAATGCTTTACCAACCGATTCTTCATTATCGTAGCACATTGCACAATCAATATGCCTGTAGCCGCAATCAAGAGCAGCTTTAACAGCATTACCGACTTCATCGTCGCTACTTTTCCACGTCCCTAGCCCTAAAAGGGGCATTTGATAGCCAGAGCTTAAAGTAATGGATTGTTGCAAGCTCATTTTGCGACAAGGCAGAATAGTGGCAAAATTAGCTCGAACTAAATACTTGCAAGTAGTGCCAACACTCCGAATGATCATCTCGACAAGTCAGGCGACTGATTTGCCTTGTACAGTACAATGCACACTTGCACAGTGTCCTGCACAACATTCTACGGTACTGTAGCAAGCAAGCAAGCACTGTAGCAGCGATTCCGTTGGCTGTCTGTCCGTTCCTTTCGTGTTTTACGACCACTCACAACCAATCCATCGACTGGTATAATTTCCCCCATAGGCCAAGACCACCATGGCCATCGATCAAGGCTGGAAGTATTATACTGGACTTGCTTTTACAGACTCACTGTTCAATTTTGCCGTTGGCGTGCTGTAGTTGCACGTACTGTGTGACTACGATGGTACAGCATGGACTACTTGAAAGAAGAAATAGGCATTCGAGTAGTCCATGAGTAAGTAGACTTGGCTGTTAGTCCACTTCTAAACTGGCTCTTACTCTTGACTAAGGTCCTTCGCCAGGGCAGTGAAAGTAGTGACGCTTGGTAGTAGATTTACAATACGGTACAAGGTTTTACAGGGAGATACGGGAAATTTCGAAATTACGTGCAAACTGCAAAGTTACACAGTATGATCTACAGCACTACGGTGCAGTACTGTACAGTACAGTACAGTATTATCGTTATCATACCGATGACGGCGCTTCGGTACCGTACAGGGCGCTGCCACCACGACACCACATTACTTAGTCACTGGTACCTGGTGCTTACGTGTTCGGAACAGCACAGTAAGAACAGGGCTTCGGATTCGGAAGCTCGAGAGTGGCAAGAAAGTAAGGAAGTCATTTAGTCGTTTAGCAATTTTGCCCCTATGCTTCTTACTCTTCTTCTGAAGAGCGTTTCCGCTACAGTACAAATGAGACTTATGTATACAGTACAGTACTGTTACATGTCGTTACGTAGTGCATTATTAATAACGGGGGATATGCATGGTTAGTTACACAGTCTGTGCAGTACAGTACAGTACACTGAGTACAGTATAGTGTACAGTACTACAGGACCAGGACCACTTTCTGTTGGTACAGTACGTTGGTACCATAAATTCGAAATTTCCCGCATCTCCCAGGTCATCAGAGAAGAAGAATTCATGGTAACAAACGAAATTTGTGACATTGGCGTACAGTGATTGTACAATGTACACAGTACACTGTACAGTATCATAGACTAGAAGAAGAAGACCTGGATTGATCACTATAGCTCATTTTGTTCAATCTTGACATATTTACTTGACCAAGTATAATGAAGGTATACTGTGTTGTACACTTTACATTCTTTCAGCGGCATATTTGGATGTGTCGCAAGGAAATGTTACGGATTACTGTAGTGGACACGCTGTCATTGCACGAAAAAGGAAAGGACCGAAAGAGGGACTTCTGCGACCGTGGACTACACTGTACAGTATTAATAATGTGGAGGCCGATTCTTTGTTTTGCTCATCTCAACTATATCGCATGGCTAGAACGGCACACTACCCTGTCTACGGTTGACATCGAAATTAGCTGCTAATACGCTGCTAACTTGGTTTTGTGCAATATACAGTACGTTTCATGGGTACCGTATCGTAGAATGGGCGGAAAATTTTGACAGGCCTCCCCACATGACCTTATTTCGCTTTACGTCTCTCTTTCCTTTTCTTTTAGTACATTATAGCACTACAGTACTGTAGTCCCTGCACACTATCAGTACTACGAATGCCACCGTAGAGTTGAATACAGCTGACAACGTGATCTCATCCATTCGAGATTCCAAGTTATATATCAATTTGTACAAAATGGATCGCAAATGCATGGCTTGAACATGTAATTAGTGGGTAATTTTCTACAGTACAGTACTGTAGAAAATTGTACAGTGTACTGTAGAGGACAGGACAGTGTCACTGTCACTGGGTGCTTTAAACTACGAAAGATATTTATACTATTGACAGCATTTATTTTGTAGTCCGCTAAAAAGAGTACGGCAGATAAGCCAAGGGCATATAACGGATTACATAATCAGACATTTTATTTCCATTGAAAATTTTGCGACACCGGTCTTTTTTAGCAAGCAATCCATGGCATAGCGTAGGGTACTGTATACAGTATACTGTACCGTGCGAGTGTATGGTAAGACCGTAAGAGTACAGTATGATTGCGGTTGGTTCGACATCACTCACTGTTTTTTTCACATTTTCTTTTATTCAAAAGTTTTAACATTCAATCGAAGTAACTCTGTCATTATAGGCTATAGTTAATCGCCAATTTTTT